GGTAAAACAAAATGGTAGAAAGAGATGGATTTAAGTAGAATTTGATTGAAGAACAAAAAGAGGAAATCCCCTGCACATTCATTTCAAATTTTGGGAGAAAAAGGCTTCGGTTTTAGGAATTTTGATATGGGTTTTGAGGAAGAGAGCTGATGGCAAAACAAAATTGCAAATTGAAATTAAAGCCATTGGAGGACCAATTTAACCTTGGGTTTCCTCCATCTCAACTAAAATGGAATCTAAATAGCCTTGGCAAAAATTTTTTGATTTTATTTTGCATTTTTTCTAATTTCTTGTGAGTTGCTAGAAACGTCTTTTTGATTGTTTGTGAGTTGCTAGAAATGTCTTTTCGATTCTTTGTGAGCCATTGGAAATGTCTAATGGTGCTTCAAAGAAGATGGATTGTTGGCAGCATCAAGCAATGTCCAGCACTTTTTTCGACTGAATGTTTGCTTCTTGCATTAATGATAGTAAGATTAAGAAACCTAGTAGTCTTTAGAGTCAAAGAAGATGGTGAAGTTTAGTGACACAAAATTATTGGATGTTTGCTTCTTACATTGAATGGTAGCAAGATTAAGCTTTTCTTCAACTAATTCTAAACTGTAGAATATTTATATTTTATTCAGTGTGTAATGAAAGGTGATGGACGGCAATGTATGCCAATCATGATCCTTTTAACAAAGTTTGAACAAAGGAAATTAGGAATGGCTTAATTTCATTCATGTGTATGCAACACTTATATACAGGCGCACAAGTACAAGTCTAGTAACCCTATTACAAAAGGAAACATAATATATTATACACTAAATCAAAGATTGACTTGCTCATGAAGAGATTGAAGAGATCTCTTTAGATCTTTTCCTTAACATGCCCTCGCAAGATGGAGGAGCCATCTGCGACTCCAATCTTGGATCTCAAATAAGTAAAGTGAGTGCTAGATAATGGCTTGGTAAGTCCATCAACTAACTAATCTTTAGAAGAGATATGAGAAACTCGAAGGACTTTGTGGTCAACTAAGTCACAAAAACAAGTGCAAGTTGATGGCAATGTGTTTCATGCGAGAATGCATGACTGGATTGCTGCTGAGATAAGTTGCCCCTATGTCATCACAATAAAGTATAGGGGGTGTTAAAGGAGGGATGCCAAGCTCATGAAGAAGATTAAGAACCCAAACCATTTCAGAGCTAGCTACTGCTAGTGCTCTGTACTTTGCTTTTGTTGAGCTTCGTGCTACAGCTCACTGTTTGGTTGCTTTTTGAAGACGCTAGATTGGAGCCAAGATACATAACATAGCCAGTTGTAAAGATTAAAGTATCCTTATCACCCGCCCAATCAACGTCAAAAAAACCATGAAGAGACAAAAAGGTTTGTAGATGAACCAAAAGTCCATCAAATTTTGTACCATTAAGATATCGAAGAGCACGTCTCATTGCTTGCCAGTGAAGATCAATAGGGCTATGCATGAATTGAGATAGCCGGTTGATAGTTAAGCATAAATTTGGCCAAGTTAGAGATAAATATTGGAGGGAACCAACAATTTTTCTATATGTCGTTGGGTCTATGAGTGAGTGACCAGATATTTGCCGAAGAGATGTGGTAGAGGAGAGGGGTGTGCTTACTGGTTTAGCATTTTCCATGCTTGCTCGTTGCAAAATTTCTTGAATATACTGCTCTGGGAAAGAAATAAATCAGCATTAGTTTGAATAGCTTCCACTCCTGTAAAAAAATCCAATTCACCAAGATTTTTCACTAAAAATTTGGAACTCATGGTAGTTATTAAATGGTCAATAGTTGTAAGATTGCTTCCAGTGATGAGTATATCATCTACACACACCAAGACATAAAGCTAATTAGTATTCTGACGATAAATAAAAAGGGAGCAATTTGACCTTGAATTGGTGAGACAGTGAGCAAGCAAAAATTGTTTCAATTCTCAAAACCACATTCTTGGGGCTTGTTTAAGCCCATAGAGGGATTTTTGTAGCTGACAAACATGATGGGGAAGATTAGGATCAGTGAACCTAGCTAGTTGTTGCATAAACAATTGTTCATCAAGTTTCCTATGAAGAAATGCATTGTTGATATCTAACTGATGAATTTTCCAACCCCTGCTTACGACAATGGACAGAATGGCTCGTATTGTTGTTGGTTTTATAACTGGACTAAAAGTTTGAGTGTAATTTGTCCTCAGTTGTTGATGGAACCCTTTAGCCACAAGTCTTGCTTTATAGCGTTCAACTTGTCCATCTTTGCCTCTTTTCAACCTGAAAACCCATTTACAATCAATAGCATTTTGATTAGGTTC